TTTTCATAAACATTTACAGAGATTTTGGGTTTCCATTCATTCATTGTTGCACTATACAGAGACTTTGGATTTCCACTCATTCATTGTTGCACTTTTCCCCCTGCCCACCCCTCCCCCCAATTCACTTTTCTCTTTCAAAAAAGTAAAAGAAAAAATTCTTTCATTGTTATTCAATCCCTCCCACCAAGTCCACTCCACTATGCTACCTTTTTTCTGGACTCCTGTTGTAACAATAATATCGAATCATGTGTCCCTTTTAAACAGTTCTCTCCCTCATCTGTTTCAATGCAGTATACATTATATATCCCCTAGAAAGAGCTGGTTTCTCTTTAGCCCTCAGTTTCCTTACCCGTGAAACGGGGAGAGTTGTAGCAACCTCTAAGGTTGCTGCGTAGATGAGAAGAATTTTATTGCCTGTGAAACACAGGGTAGAGTGCTTAACTCTTAGACAAACCTCAGTTCCCTTCTTAACTAGAATTTTCTCGCTTTTGGCAGATAATGGAAGCAGGTGACCCTGGGTTAGCACTTTCAGATATACAAGGGGCTTTCTTTAAGGAAGTGTCTCTCTTTGATTTGTGGAGGGGGCCTGGTATCAACTTGACGGTCCTGAAGGAGAAGGAGCTTCGAAGGAGTCAGGTACGACTTTGATTCTCATGGACGCTCCTGTAATCCTGATGTCCTGTCTTCTTGGGGGAGTCCTATGGGTAGTGCAAGCCGTTAAGGTCCTTAGCTGCTGATAGAAAGATTGGCAGCCCAGGTTTAACCAGAAGTGACTTGAAAGCCCAAGGGATCAACTTGTGATGACTTGGTCTCTGGAATCCCTGGGGAGCAGTCTACTGTGTCACATATGGGGCATTGCTGCTGGTAGAAATCAACGAGTGAGATGATGATTAATCCTCAGGAGGGAAAGTATCAAGGGATGGAGTCGAGGCTTCCTAGAGGATGGTAATGAGGACTATGAGAGGGAAATATTGAAGACAGTCTTATCAAGAGGGAACATGTGAGCACAGATTTGATGGACAGGAAGGAGGGAGCCCTGAGGCTACCCAAGGATGTGTTCCATGCTGATGAAACAGGTAGAGGAAGTAGCAGAGGTGAGAAGGAATCTGGAGGCCTGAGGAAGAGTGAGGAGGCCCAGGACGTGGAATGAGGCGACAGGGGGAGAGAACCAGGTCATAAAGTGAGGTGGTACTGTTGTTGTGTATAGCTGAGTTGCAATCAACTCATACTTTACCCTCCACTGGATTTTCAGAGGTAGTAAAAAGCACAGGAGGAGATCGTCCATCTTTCTCCCTTAAAACTGCTAGTGGGTTTGAACCATGAGTCTTTGGGTCTAGAAATGCAACTCCTTACCACAAAGCCACCAGAGCTCCCTTAGGGCCTGGAGTGAGGTGAGATGAGAGGAGAATACTTGGAAGGGAAGCTGGAGGGCTTATGGAGATTTTATAACCTGGAAACTGAGGCAAAGGCTCTGAGTTCTGCTCTGTGCTCTCTAGGTGTGAGAAAGAACTACAGAGGATTTGAGGAAGAATGTTATACATTTTATATTCCAAAGGTTTGCACACTTTGGCTTCAAATTGAGGCAAACAAGGCGGGTAGACAATAGCCTAGTGGGGAGGCTGTTGCCTAACCCAGGTGAGAAATAGCAGTGATGTGGACAGAGTGGCGACCTCCAGACACATTTCCGCAGACATTTTTGGGAGGTCAAGTTAACGAAGTTTGCTGTCACACTGGCTATGAGGTGTGAAAGAGTGGCAGGAAGAATGCTAATCTTCTTACCTATTTCTGTGTAACAAATGAATTCCAAAATTAACATATTCAAAGAGCCACAACCGTTTACTTATTTTGTTTTCATGTGCTTTTCTTGCTCTAAATTCCATGAGGTTGGGTTAAGTTGGTGGCTAGGGCTAGAATCATCTAGAAGCTGGGTCTGATGTTTGGGCTGGCAAGACTCTAGAAATTGAGGGCACCTCTCCAGATAGCGCTTCTCTGACCTCGTGGAATGTCTTCCGGTGGACTGAACTTCTTACACGTGTGCTTCAAAGCTCTCAAGGTATGTGGTCCCCTTTGTGACTTAAACTTGAAATTCACTTCTGTTGCACCCTGTTCACTGGGGTGTTTCAAAGGCCTACCCAGGTTCAGAACACAGACCCCACCTCTTGAGTGGAGCAGTGTTTGGGTTCTAGAAGAGCCTGATGGGTAGGAACCATGATTGGTACCATTTTGGAAAATGTATGTTACCACACAAGATACTTTGGTCTCAGTGGCCAAGCTGATGGAGTTACCGTAGCTTGAGATGGAGAAGACCATGAACTTGACTGTGAGCCTGGGGAAATCCAAGAGGCCACTTGGAGAACGTTTAGAATTCACTTTTTCTCTAATTCTCTAGTCTAGATCGTTATGATGTTTAAGGACCTCTGCTGGCACATCGCAGATGCCTCAACCCAATGCCAGATCATAATTTATTCTGCTTGGGAATTAGGTTCAGAGCCTCAGAGTCTATAAAATAGACAGATATTGTACTTGATAGCATCTGCAAGTAGGTATTCTGTAAAATTACATTTCTTGAAACAAATGAGTCCCCTGGCTACGATGTATTGTTCTCCTAGACTGCTCATCTGGGAAGATGTGGGGCGAGCGCCTGCTGTGAGCTGGAGGCTGCTTTATTTATAGCCTCTCATCTTTCTCTTCTGCGCTTGCTTTCTGGGATGTCGTGTGTTCAGGAACTCATGGGTGGAGATGTAAATAGAGGCCCCAGAGAGTCTGCAGCCGGGCCAGCAGCTTCTTAAAGCACAAAAGCCTGACGCCTTTGCTCCTCTGCTGCCTTGTGGAGAGATGCTATGAGCACTGGGGCACTGGGATTAAACACACCATTTCAAATCCCAGCCCCCCACCGCTCAGCAAGTTTAAGCTCCTGGGGGAGTGACCAAGGTGTTTTGGTGATGTGGTGGTTAAACACTCAGCTGCAAACTGAAAGGTTGACAGTTTGAATCCACAGGAGAATAATGTGGCAGCCTGCCTCTGCCAAAATCTACAGCCTTGAAAACCTTGTAAGGCACACTGCCATCCTCTCTTAGAAAAGGCTCGCTGTGAGGTAGTTCTGGCAGTGTCGTTGGTGGGGACTTGCATTGTTAACCCAAAGATCATGTATCTCTAGGGGACCTCTGGTGGCCTAGTGGCAAGAAGCTGCACTGCAATCCAAACATCATGCATCTCTAGTGGTTCAAAATCATCTGCAGCTCTGAGGAAGAAAGATGGAAATCTCCTCCCTTGTGATTACAGCCTCAGGAACCCAATAGAGGGGCAGCTATGAGTTTGTCCTGACTTGCAGGCAGCGAGTGTGCGTGTGTGTGTGTGTGTGTGAGAGAGAGGGGGAGTCACGAAGGATCTGCTGATGGCGGCTTTGTTTTCTTGTGGTTTGTTGCAAATGACATGACCTGATAAGGTTCCATTTTTTCCATCTATAGACTTTCCCTTTCTCCCAGGACCGTGATGTTGGCCGCATGGCATGTACCCTGTCGGCCCTGGCATTTATTCTCTCCCCTTAGGCCTTGTTCCTGTATGATCTTCTTTCAAAGACCACGGGAAGCCCCGCGGAGCTCCTGAGGTAGGAGACTGTGACTGTCTGTCTGGGGACCAAAGAGGCCTTTAGAGCTTAATCCACAGAGGGGGAGCTGGGCAGTCACACCCGGATCCCGTGTCACATCAAGTCTGGCTTCTTTGGTCTCCCTCTTGCCTTTCTCTTCCCCACTTCTTCTCTGGGGGCTTTGCTTTGTTTCCTAGTGCAGGGCAGCTGGTCCAAGGTGTGACATGCTCCCACATTGAAGCCATGAGTGAGGAATCCTTCCTGTCCAGTTTCCAGTATTTTGAGAACAACCTTGCCCTCCTGTCACCATATCAGGTACTGTCCAGCATCTCCCTGCGTTTGTCTCTTCCCAGATTGCCAGCCTGGGTTGATCAGGACTGTCTGAGAACAACTGATGATTTGGGGTCAAATAGGATGATTTGGAGCCAAGTCTTCTCCAGTTTGTATTTTTCTTTTTTTAAAAAAGAACTAAATACCTATATGGATGAAAAGTTTCATCAGATAGATGACTCCCTGCTTGTACATCAACCTCACATACATTTTTACGGTGCTCTGTTTGGGGACAGAATGTTATTTCTTTTTTAAAAAATCATATTTTATTAAAAGGCACATTGCCATGGGAAAGTCTGCTGTTAGGGACCTCTCCAAAGTACTGAA